ATCTGAGATTAGAACGGGAAATTATTTAAATTAAAAGCAAATTTTTGTGAATGGCCAAGAAGAAAAGAGTATTTTTGTGGAAGTTTTGAAGTAAAAACATCAGACGGTAACGAATTTGAATAAAAATTGCCATGACAACCAGATAAACAACGATGTCAAAACATGTCAAATTTTGGTTTTAGGCTCGTAATAGAGAAACGGCAAGATTTAAGTAAAAAATGAGATATTATTGATATAGGAAAAAAGGTAGCGCAACAGCGCGCACGAAGCCCGAAATTGCAGAGTTACGGAGAACTAAATAAAAGATCGAAAAAGGTAGGCTCCATCGACACCGATTTAAAATGTGCTGATAGCGTGAAAATACGAAGTGAAAATGATTTGTTATTGTGTTCTTATGGTTTTTATATGTTTATGTTTACAGTATATGTATATGGTTACAGGATTCTATGGAAATAAAGGTGATGCACAATATCCAGTTTTGAGGTGAATGCAGAAAATCAAAAACAAAATGGAAAAATAAATTTAAAATAGTGTAAAATGATATGTATGTAGCATAACACTACAAGGTCTATTAAGAATTTTCATCATTATCACAACAGCCCATCACAAGTCTACTATTAGACATGACACTCGCTAAAATAGCAGCTGTTGTTTCGAATATGTAGTGAATGTAAAGCACTAGAGAACCTTTTTACTAGAAACAAGGCATTTCATCTTAGTCTACAGTGGTGACGATGCTTCTGCATTGTGGTTCGTAATCGAGGGAAGATGTAGATCTCTATGGGATACATCATCTACTTACCATCATGTACACACGTTCGTAACTCTAACTTTATAAAATTACTCTCCAAGATATTGCACAATAACATTGTAACAAAAGTAAGCGAAATTGTTGAGCTAAAGTTCTCAGCTGTATGTTTTATAGTAAAGGTGATAACGCATCTGTAGCCTTCTCTGTTTGAAGTTGGCTACTGGTGTCCATGGACTGCGGAAGACTCCTATCATTAGGTGTACTGTTAGTACTTTATCACATCAGTTTTATAAAATAATCAGTTTTAAAAAATAACGTAAAATGTGATCAAGCTCTCTTTGACTTATAAACTCATCAGGGAAAATAAAACTGATACAATTTTGGTAAAGTTATTTTATTTTACCCGAAATTTGCTAGCGAAACTTGTTATGAAATTAGTCTATTAGGGACACATGTTCCGATCGATACGCTTTTAGTCGTTCGATTTATGAGTTCCTTTTTTATTTTGTCAGAAGAAAAGTGTACGTCGCAATGCTAGGCACAGGTTACGGCTATCTCTAACACTGAAAGTATCTCATTTTTACGGCGTGCTGCTGCAGTGCGTTTCGACGGACTTCACATGTCTTTGAAGTATTTTTATTCCTCAGACAAACAGGTTTCCTCACATTTATTTGTTTTCTTCATCGATGAGCACATCATAGATCAGCACTGAATATTGCAATAAAAATTTATTTGGTACATGTGGAGATCGAACCCGAGCTGCTCGTGTACTGTAAAATTTATAGCGCGCCTTTGTTGTCTGTTGACAATTTTCAATAGTAAATAAAACTTATTTCACGCATTCTGTCGTGTTTAATTTTAACTTATATTTACTTATGTTTGATTCCCTATGTTACGGACTATTTACTAGGCCCAATAATTTGGACGAAGCCTTATAAAATAACTATATATATATTATAAATAAATGTTTTAGCATTGTGTTATTTTTGTTACTAATTGTTGAGGCGCAATGAGGAAATTTATGAACAAATAGAGAACGAAATTAAGGAACACTAAGTCATTTTCTTTATTTACGAACAAAGCAACTATAAATTATGAACAAGACTCGAACTCATTTTATAGACGTACTTTATTCGCAATTTAAACTAGATACAGCATTTATAATTATGAATTAGGAATATACAATATAAAATATATATAGGCATATCAAAGAGATGTTGAAACATTTTCTGTGAAATGTCTTACGTTCTTCAGAATCCCACCTGTTATAGTACGGTTGTAAGCACTTTATACACGAATAATAATGAGGTTGGTTTTGAATGGAGCATATTTTACTATAATATATTTGATTGCTCACAATCTTAGTCCAAGTATTATGTAATATCGTTAATTTATAGTTGAATTTTTCGGTCAGATTAAAAGATCAGCGGTATCAGCACAATACAATCAATGTGTTTTACTGGTATGTAAGTCCATCCGTTTTCCCTTCTTTAGTTCTTAAAATTAGCACACTTTTTGTTAGCGCCAATTTTATTTTATTATTTACTCAACTACTCAAAAATAAGGTTATGTTTTAGAATGATTGTATAGTTTGCTTGTGTTTTGAATTAAATATTGAAATTCATTTCCATTTGCAAATTTTACATTAATCTACATTCCTGAAATACCAAAAATTACATTTTAAGTAAATGATATATATGAGTGTCATTTTCGCTCACGCCCAAATAATAACGCTAATTTAATAGCTAGTTATAAATATATTAAAAAATATAATAAAGCTAGTTAAATAGATGGAATGGAAAGGAAAAGGGTTGTCCAAAAGAGGCTAATTTGCTTCGAAGCAATTTAACTTTTAATGACTAATAGAACTAAAATCTGTCATGAACAAAAATAACATTTAAAATTGAAATTTGTGAATTAAATATTAAAAAGAAAGCTATAAAATATAATAATTAAAGAAATATATATGTTATGTTTCCGTTTCCGCAATTACGGTATATCATTATTCATATTTGAAATTAAGTTTGTTAATTATCACATCTTCTCGATCTTTCAATTTAAAAAATTTAAATAATTAATTTGGCTACTCTTTGAAAAATAAGCCTTCCCCCTTAAGAATTGGGCTTCTGTCGTGGTATTATTTCGCTTTTCCCATTTTATAGGTTAGGTTGAAATCAACTGTAATATTAAGAAGTTGCTTTTTAATATAAAAAATTTCTGAAGAGAAAATTTATTTATAAATATTTTCATTATAAATATATTTATAATCTGTAATCATTTACTGCATGGATCTCCTAGTTTCAAAAATAGTTTCAACATCAAAATTTATTGTTGGTAAATTTTAATAAACTTTACAATAATAAATTAACCCTTTAATGCGCAGAAAAATAAAAGTTATGTAAACATGTTTTTTTCTGTTTAATTGCATTAATGTTGACTAATTATAGCCAAAAAAAATAGAAATTATTATTATTATTATTGTATACTTTATCAAATATCGTATGTTAAAAATACTCAACATTGCGCGACATATTGGAACATTACCTAATAAATTGAGCGTTGAGTATTTTCAACATTGCCCTTGTAAAGGTAGTTTACTAATATATTAAAATAAAAGAACAAACTATAGAGAAAATCAAATAAAGTTTTATTTTTTATTAATTAATCATAGAATAAGTTGGCTAGACACAGCCTTAGTAGAAAAAATCAAATTCACATATTATTACTTAACATGGTAATTATAAAAACAGTTTCTCTTACTAACTAGACACAGCCTGAGGATACATTTTGAGCAAGTAATATTTGTGTACCCATTTTTACAGTATTTGCACCGTCCATACGACACAAACATGGGTAAATGTCCATTGTTGTCATATCGTACAGCATCAGTCGGTCTTGGAGCAGCTGGAGTAATTATTTTTTTAGGAGGATCGTTTTCCTGACTCACTGTCACCCTCGTTCTGTTTTTATGTAAAAGCTCAGATACTATCTGTATCCGAAATTTTTTGAGAGGTAAACGGTCTTTTAGGATCAGCATGATCTCTCCTATGTAATAACCAAGCATTGTTGACGCAAATATCCAGAGATTGTGAAAAATGGTCATGTACCACCTCTTAGTTTTAAAGTTTGAACGGTATAGAGCGATAAGCATGTCCGCCAAGTCTACGCCCCCCATATGGGCATTATATTGCTTCACAATCTGAGGACAATTGACCTCCACCCTAGATTCTGTATCTTTGGAATACCTTTGAATCTTTCCCATTGGATGGGAATCGACGAATGAACTAGCCAATGTCACCGGCTTATTGTCATACCATCTGACAACAGCAAGTTTCGTGTCATTGCAGACGATCTGGGAGCTTGCACCCCGTCCTTTTTTTGCGAGAACTTTATCTGCTAGTAGTTTATTTTGACAACCTCTCAAACGATTACTTTTTATGGTACCAAGACTAAAAATACCGTATTCTTGACGCAAATGGTGAATTAGCTCCAATGACGTAAAGAAATTGTCAAAATATACGACTGCAGGTTTATCCTCAATGGTCTTGCAAAGTGCTAGCACAACTTTTGCTCCAAGACCGAGGCTCTCCTCGTATTCAGTAAAAGAATGATTTCTAAACGTGTCTTCTCCACCATAAGGAATGAAATCATACACTAAACCAGAGACGCATGCTCGAACGAATAACTTCATCCCCCATTTTTTTGGTTTTTTAGGTAGATATTGGCGCCTACTTCCCGCTCTTGTCCCTTTGTATGGGACCATCATTTCGTCGACGCTGTAGCGTTGTTCCTCCTTCATTTTTAAGCAATTAAGCCTAATTTTTTCAATAATTGGTCGAACTTTGTAGTAACGGTCGTCGTTAATGTTGCTGTTGTCGGCGAAATGTAAATATTTCCTTATTTTCTCATACTTTTTTAAAGGCATGATATCAGCGACAGCTGGATATCGCAAAAATCGACTCCAATAATCTCTGTAAGAGGGCATTTTCACTACCCCCATAATGAGTGTAATCGCTATGAAATCTTTCACATCATCGTTTGTTATATTTATAGATCTCGAATCGGTTTGAACTGAATATAAGTTTGTCTGTTCTACTATTAATTCGAATATGTCATTTGAAAAAAAGTCAGTGAAATAATCTAAGATTGAATGATGTGGATCGGGTGAGAAATCGTGTTTCGGTGGTTCAAATATAGCTGCGTACTGTAGTTTTCCTGCTCTGAATTTGAATGATAGAGGTTTTCTTACAAACTTCTTTACTTTTTTTGCCGCTGGGTGTTTAGGTTTTGTGTTCTGTCGTCGCTTTGAACGTGTATTAGGTGCTGCTGGAGACATGTTAGGTGATAATACTGATGAGACCGAATTCAGTGTGAATGGGAGCGGCTGATTTGACGGGCCTGGTGAAAACATTTGGTTAATTAAAGGAGACAAGGGAATTGTTGGTATGTGGAGTATGGAATCATTCATTATATCTTGTGGCATCGACGCAGACGAAATCGGAGTTTGGACTTCAGAACATGGTACTTCAGGTATGTTGCAATCATTTTGTTGAGGCGGAGTTGGCGATGGAGGCGTCGTCGGACGAGAATTTTCTTTGGAATTGGGTAAGTATGACTTGCTTTCATTTTGTAGCTGTAGTGGCCTAGGTGATGGCGTCGCAGGAATCTCATCTTCGGAATGTGAATCTAAGCTTAAGTCATCAATTTCAGAGGGATAAGAACGTGGTTCAGATGATTCGTAGTTGTGTTCTGAGTCAGATGATTGTTGTTTTTTCGGTTTTGTGTAATTATTGATTATAACTTCATCTTCAGATGTGCTGCTGTCATCGGAGGGTGCTTTTGCGGGAGGTACAAGCGCCATAATTTTTTGCGTGCGTTGCCATTTAAGCATTTTCTGAAGCAAAATAACACAAAAAACGTAGGGCATCCAAAACCAAAGCGAAAAATGAACAATAATAGGGTCTCAGATAAGAGGGGAATAAATGTTAGTACACGCGCAATGTTGAATATACTCATCATGTTAAGTTATAGGACAAAACCTAAAGCATTTCGCAATGTTGAAAATACTCAACATAGAAAAAATCAGGTGAATAATAGTAACATTCGCATTGTTGAGTATATTCAACATTCAACTTGAAAACCATCAAACACATACTAAACCACAATATTTTCAGGCTTTTTTCATTACGTGCATAAAATAATAATTTAAAATTGAAATGCAAGGCAATAATAGGTATCAATATGATTTAAATTGCTAATAATAAATTTTATTTACCTTAGGTCCAAACGGTGCAGATGAACGTGATGCCATTTTGCCGCCACTGTCAAAATCTGACGTTTGTGACACACAACTTTCTTTTTACGAGTTGCGTTTCGTTTCACCTTTTTTTCAAAGTAAAAATATTTTTTCTACGCGTTCAAGTTTTCATACAGGATTTATTTATTTCGAATGTTGAGTATTCTCAACTTTACGAATTAAAGGGTTAAATAAAAAATGAGTAGCTATATATTATATAACTTTTTTTATATAACTTAAATAACTTTTTTTTTCATTTTTAGATAAGAGTTTTTTTTTGATAAAGATTAAAATTTAGTATCAAATTCTCTTGAATATATGTCCAAAATTTTAATTACATTTATCTTATGCCAAAACTAGCATTGGCTCCATACAAACTGTTCCAGCAAAATAACTGTTGCGCAAAGTTTAAGATGGTCTCGTTGGCGCTTTCTTGAAAAGGCATACAGCAAAAATAAGCCGACTACTCTTACTAACCGAATATTTTTTTACTGGAAACGAGGCATTCCACCTAAGTACTCACGTGTGATAACGCATCTGCATTTTGATTCGTAATCGAAGATAGAAGTAGATGTCTATGGTCCGCAGCAACCACTTACCATCAGGCAGACTGTATGCTCGTTAGTCAACCTTATCCTATAAAAAAAATAAAGAAAGCTACACATACTTTTTACATCTAAGGACTAAGATAGAATGTCTACTAGCCTTTTATTATGCTGACTTCCTATAATCTTCAGACTGGAGTACAGCAGTGTAAGCATTGATGGCCGAAATAGGTGAGGGGTAGGTACTTACCCAAATGGACTCCCAGGCAGAAATTCATACCATATAGATGCTTCCAGCAGTGACATTATCAATGACGGTTTTTCTTTTTAAACATCCCATAAATGTTCATTACTGGATATGGAACGCTCCTGTTGGAGAGGGGAGGGGGGGGGGGAGAAATTGCCTGAATGTTCACCCTGGGTTTGTCAATCCGCCTGGGATTGACATTTGACAATCGCAGTGCTAGACGTTTCGCACTATTGACGCACGATGCTACCCATCTCCGCTCTGGTATTTTATACGCTTGGCGTTAATAAAATCTGTCGGTAATCGTTATATTTTTGTAGTATTTCTCACAGTTGTCACTTTTTATACGATATCTGCGGTGTGAAATTAAGTGATGAAATTATATTTAATTGGTCTCTTACACCACTATCACACGGGCCTACACAGTCTTACGGACTTAATGACGATAAGAAAAAGAAAATAAATTAAAAAAGTCTGACAATTCGCAGCTCAAGCCGTCTCAGTATTCATAATTATAAATTTTACTACAACTTTTACTTCAATATGGAATTATCATTTAAATTCGTAATATTCGTTACTTTTGTGTTCATTGAAATGGCAGTGTGTTCATTGCACGCACGGCACATGAAAAAAATTGTAAAAATTTATTGAGCAGATGTGGGCAAAGTAATTCTTATCAACTTAAATTGTAAAAGTACTATGTAAAAAACGTATTCTGCTTTTTGGTTCAGATTACGAACTAAGAAATGAATATTCCATAAATAGGAGGAAAATTCTATTAACAACTAACAGCTTTACCGAAATATATACGGTCTCTTATTTTGGGCGTTGTATGATAAAAGCGCCTCGACCTAATTTTTCCGCTCCATTTACAAGTAATTTATATTAAAAATAGGTCCATATTTTTTAAACGTTTTTATTTTATTTTCACTTTATTTTTCATGATAGTTGCAGCTTCAGACGTCATTAACATTTTAATATGGTATATTATTAAATTATTTCTTACATTTCTGTAAACTCTATCTATAAATTGATTGAAACTAGTTTTTTTATGGATTTTATTGCGTGTATTCAACTTATTTATGTACTCAACGTTTCGAGAACTTTGCAAAACCTATGGTCGTGAAGGATGAGCCGTGTAACGTCCCAATGTCATATGGGTTAAGGTGGCCATGGTTTGTGATTCGTCCCTGGTCATGCCGATCCATTCGTGATTTATTCATAAAACGCTGCGGCATGTAACTTATAGGCCTCATTTAAGTCTTTGTTTTATATTAGCTCGGTAGGAAATGTTCTGCCCTTTTCAATGAGTGGCACGTGGAGTACAATTTGAATATGATGTTTTAAGGCATTTCCCCTAGCAAACGACCTTGAGCGTTCGGTCCTATACAATCCACGTGCTCTCGCTACAATGTATCGCGTAAAGTGAATTAAAGAGTTAATTTTGATAATTCAATCGGCAGTTTTTATTGTCACGAATCTCAAGCTCGTAACAATTGGTGTCAGAAGTGGGATTAAATAATGCCGACTTTACCTAAGGAAGAAACGGAGGGTGTCCGTACCCGAAGTCAACGCCAGCAGGAGACGGACCAGACGATTTGGTGGTGCAACGTCGCAGACGTCAGAGGGCCAACTGCCACCCACGGAGGCTGGCCCGTCAACAGCTCCTACACCTGCAGCACCTGACTTAGGTGCTCTGATGGTGATGCTGCAGGAGCACGCCCGTTGGTTGGAAGAGCAGCTGAAGCGCGGACAGGAGGAACAGGCCCGTCATTTGAAAGAGCAGCAGGAAGAACAGGCCCGTCGCATAGAAGAGTAGCTCAAATGCGATAGGGAAGAGCAGAAGCTTCTCGTGATGGACCTTCATGCTACCTTCGGGAAAGAGATAAGGGAGGTGAAGGATAAGGTTGCTCAACATGATAACCGCCTGTCGGAAGCTGAGACCCAAATCAACCAAGTTAAGAAAACGCTGGATGAACTCAAACTTGGAGATGGAATTGCAGCCCCCGCAGTAGCTACAACACCTTCACTACGTGGCTTCAAAGTGCCACCGTTCGATGGGACTTCTTCCTGGTCAGCTTACAAATTCCAGTTTGAAGCTGTTAAGAAGGCGAACAGCTGGAATAAGTCATGCCATGACTGCTCTCACACTAGGCCTGCGCGACCAGGCCTTAACAGTTCTGGAAGCTCTCGGTGAGGAAGTGACTTATGAGCAACTCCTTGAGGCATTGGAGGCGAGATATGGCGACGCTCACCTCGAACACGTCTTTCGTGCGCAGCTTAAAGATCGCGTGCAGCGCATCAACGAAAATCTGCAGCAGTGGGCTCTAGAAGTGGAGAAGCTGGTGCGAAAAGCATACCGGTCTGTACCTGCGCTCATTTAAGGGAACCTGGTGCAGACATTCATCAACGGCATCCGCGAACTGGAAGTCAGAGCTGCTGTGTGGCTCGGGCACCACGAGACGCTTAAGGACGCCTTGGCCTATGCACTGGAGATGGAAGCCGTGCGGCAGGATCATCGTTCCTATCTCGTCAGGGAGGTTGCAGTAGCTACAGTTCGCTACCGCAACAAAGGATACAGCCCTAGGTGCTATGGCTGTGTGAAAGGAGGCCATCTTCGATCCAGCTGCCCTAGGCGAACTGTAGAAAGGGAAGTTGATCGGTCTCGAGAGGGTAGTGAGGCTAACATCACCGCCCAGCAGCAGCCGCGATACGACTTTACTATCAGACATCGCAGCGGGAAATCTCATGGCAACGCAGATGCATTGTCAAGAAGACCTTGTCTTGAAGATTGGAAACATTGTACTAGGCAAGAGAGTAAGGAAGTGGTATCCTTGAGGATGCTCAGGACAGACCACCAGTGGAAGGACAGCCTCCGACATGCACAGCAGGAAGATCCGGACATCAAGCCGATTCTGGAATGGATGAAGGCCCATGCTACCAAGCCTAAGTGGAGCGACTTATCAGCGATGAGTTCAACCACGAAAAGCTATTGGGCCCAATGGGACAGCTTGCTGATTCAGGATGTAGTCCTGTACCGTAAATGGGACAATGGTCGCGGAGACAGCTGTCGTTTGCAAATGGTTGTCCCTAAAGCTAAAGTGCCGAATGTTCTACAGCTGTGCCATAATGGTTGTTCAAGAGTCCATCTGGGAGTTAAACGAACTCTACTGAAGGTCCGAGAACAGTTTTACTGGGTCTATTATCGTGACGATGTCGAGGATTGGTGTCGTACATGTACAAGTTGTGCGGCTTTGAGGGGACCTCAGACACGTAGTAGAGGAGCATCGAAATTGTACAATGTTGGTGCACCATGGGATAGGACAGCCCTTGACATTGCGGAGCTGTTACAGAAAGTCCTAAGATCCTAAGATCATCCATGTGGATCGCCTGGCGCGTTATTATGGCGCCGATAATGCATGTCTTAGGAGGGGGCAGTGTTGCGCGCCTAAGTTGACGTCATGTACCCGGCACTAGCGCCATCTGTGTCGGGTAACGGAGCGAGGGGAGCTTTCCAGAAAATGACATCACTAATCTTACAACCGACAGCGCCGTCCAGTATCGAAACTAAGAACTAAGCTTCTAGAAGCCCGACACTCGAACTTTCGGCGCCTAGTCGATTGGCGCGCGTATTTACTTGAATACTCTGGATGTTTCGGTGTTAATGTGTATTTAAAGGCGCTGCAATATGCGAGCGGGGAAGTATTGAATTTGGCGAGACAAGCGAAGCTTCGGAGCGAAATAAAGTGAATCAGTATGATTAATTATTAGTGTTCGAAGTTTTAATTAGTGTAAAATGAATT